AAGTCCACCTATCTTAAAGTTGCTGAGATTGAGAAATACTGTTCTACTACTGTCCTATGGAAACTCCATTTTGGGGATGGTGTTGGGGTATGGTGACCATATTTTCTTGTAAAAAATAAGGGGCAAACCTGAAAAAGGGGCAAATCTGAAAGAGTTCATAAGGATAAAAAATGTTATGTTTATAACTTTGCTTTACAAAGGAAAAATCAAGAGCCGAACCAAGAAAAACTTTACAAAAAGGCACGTTCTAATAAACATATCTAAAATCAAACAGGATATGTCAACTGGTTTTAGAAAGACACTTCCATTTCCCTATTTTTCACGTGAATCGTGAAAGACAGTGCATTAAGTGGCCCCATGTCTATGGCCAAAGGTAAAGGAGCAGAAAAAGGGACCAAAGGGAGTTTTTGAAAAGCGAATAAATCTAAAGGACAGCTTTTTGAAATGAAGGACGGTCTTTAGAATAAAGGATGGACGGTCACTGAGTCTAGGGGAGAAGAAAGGGGCTCCACCCAGATTCACACTCAGGCTTCAAGGCGGGAACAACACTGACCGGGTAGAGGTCCCTGGCACGGGACGGCCGGTGTCCACTCGCACGCACCAGCAGTAGCCTGTGGCTTGGTGACACTGCACCTCCTTGTAAGTGCCATCGCCTTCACACTCAGGGATGAAGGTCCCCTCTTGCTGGTGCTGACGGGCCTCCTGGATGGCCTCCCGGCGTTCCTGCTCGCACGACGGTGGATATTCTGCAGGGAAGAAAGATGAAACAGGCAAAAAAGCAGGTTTTTGTCATCATCATCTGGAACATTAAAATTATTGTTCTGGTGCCTGTTGAGTTGGGAGGAAGATTCTTCTTTAGAGTTAAAACTTTCTTGCCCAGATGAAAAGGAACAGTCCTTGATGGCAGGTGGCTCCCAGATAATGACTCGGGCAGGTACTGGACAGAAATAACTGTAGTCAGCAGGCGAGAGCAAAATCTGAGCTTTGGCAAGGAGAAATTGAAAAAAGGGTTTTTAGAGGCACGCCATTGGTTTGAGGGGGAAATTAGGGGAGGCTGTTGGCCTAATTCTCCCAGGCACAGTGTTTTTTATACACACACACACACGTGTATACATACATACATACATACATACATACATAATTATTGAAATTCCAGGGACTGCCAGTGCCCATAAGGAGAATCAACCCAATGGCAGGAAATTCCATCAGCAATTTATGCCCAGGGACGAAGAAAGTTTTGGCACTGTGAGGAAGGGGAGAAGAATTCCTCCGCACCGGGCAGACACCATCCCATTGCACCTTGACAGTCTTCCTTAGTTTCACCCCAAGCCCCCTTTCTCATATGGAAGAAGAACCAGCCTGAAAGGGGCTGGTCAGCATTTCCTGCCCCTGATCCAGCTCAATGTCTTGTACACGGAGAACACCGGAGCCCAGAGGCTTGGGCAGAGTTGGTACCGCAGGGGATGGTGACCCCAGACAGTGATGGGGCGCTGGAAAGAAGCTCTGAGCTGCAGAGAGAGGGCACTGCCAAGCAGGGTGGGCCAGTGGGCCAGGAATGGACTAGGCCTGGTGAGGAAACAGGGCAACCAGGACGGCTTTGGAACGGCCCAACAGCATCAGCCCAAGGGTACCTCTGGCTGGTTTTATGCAATGCGCTGAAATCAAAAGCCAGTTGAGCAAAACATAGTTACCCCTTCAAATATGCCGTGTTCTGGTTTAGTGCAGTGACCCGCATCCTCAGCGTAGCTGAGTTGGCCACCGCCAGCTGAACCATCAGCTCCCCTCCCCGTCTCAGCCCAGCCTGGTGTGTGGTGAGAATCTGGGGGTGCCTTTCAGCCCAGCCTCCCTCCCAAGGGAGTTGTGACGAGGTGGAAGCAAAATGAGGGCTCTGGGTGGCACCCCGCGCTCCTTAGAGAGAAAGCCAGAGCGGGATGAAAGGAAGAAGCCGGGACTCACCTTGAGCTGGTTTCACCGTGTGGTTGGTCTTGAAATCTGGAAGGATGATGGGAATCAGGAAAGGCAAGGTGGTGCCTTCTGGGTCATGGAGAAAAGCCGGAGATCCGTGGTGGGCAGGCAGGCAGAACGAGCAACAAGAGGAGACAGAGGCAGAGGGGGGTTAGGGCACTCATGGGGCATTGGGAAACCATCTTACCCCACCCAGTTCTCCGATGTCCAAGGGCACTTCCAGTTTTTCTCTTCCCCCCCACCCCCCCAGCCCCATCCTTCTGGGTCCAAAGTCTCCTAGTCCTGTTCGGGAGGGGTCTCCATCTTTTGCCCTGCCAGCATTCCTCAGGGAGAGATCATCTATCACCAACTAGAGCACGATTCCCCGCCCCAACCAAGGGCAGCTGTTCCACCCGTCCACCTGTTTTGCACACTCAGCAGACAGGGGCTGCAACTGCTTTATATTCATAGGTTGCAGAAAAACCCTTGCAGGTCAGGTCTGGAAATTAAAGAAAAACTGAAGCTTAGCTCAGAAAACGGGAAGGCAGCGCCCTCAAAACTTGGACAGGGTTGCCCAAAGGGGATTGGGGCAGGGGCGAAAGGGGCAATGGCTGACGTGAGAATGGTTAAAAAAGAAAGAAAGAAATGGAGTTGTTTGACTCAGGCAGTGAAAGTCCACATTCAGTGTCTTCACTATAAGCATGCATTGCATGATCCCGTCTTAGCACTGCAAACACTGACAAATCCATGCAGTTCTGCCCCAAACGGGTGGCACAGACCAGGGAAGAGAGGGGAGGGCTACCTACCTTCCTGCCTGCGGGGCACGGGGCTTGGCGGGGTAGGCCGGGGCCCGGCACCTTCTTCTGCGTTCAGGGAGGAAAAGAGGTCGAAGGCAACTATTACAGAGGTTTTAATGTCATCTTCTCTGTCCAAAGAGTGAAAGAATTCAGAGCTACAGGATGGCCTGATTCTACAACGGCCATCGGATTTTTACATGACAGAGGCTCAAGGACTTGGCCAGCCAGAAACCCAACAGGGGTACGCTTTCCTAATGCGGAGAAAGCTCAACCAGTTGAATTTCTGCCTGCTACGCAACTATTAAAAGCATAGAGCATTTTTCAAAGGGCGGAATGTGGAAATCAGCCCTTTTTTGTCCATAATGCCCCCTTCCACAGCAAAAGTATCTCAACCAAGGACAGATATATTCTGGGGAGGGGCTGCAATGAAGGGGAACGGTGGCACCCTCCAGCCAGGACAGAACATTTGTTTGCTTTCCCAAGCAATGCGAAATCTATTTTTAGGGCTTCTTCTGCTTCTTATCAAACGGTGGGAAAACGCGCCACCACTGTTTTGCCAATGGTGGGAGGGGGCGTTGGGAAATGCAAGGGTATCCTCAGGGAGTCAAAGAAGTCAAGAACCCTGCAATCAAAGCTTGTGTGATGCATGTGAAAAAGGGGCGGGGCTTCCTTGCATAGTTGTGGCTGCCCTGTCTTCTTTGACACCCCCCCCCCCCCCGCAGACACCCCGTGGGGGACGGTCAGGCACTCCTGAGCTTCAGCTACAGAAAATGCCTCTTTCCCTGGTGCGCCGCTACAGAAGTGCAGCCCTCACATGTGCCAGCAGAGGGAGCACTTTGCACCCCGGGATTCTAGCGCTTGGATTGCGACATATCGGGTTCGCACCCCCTTTTTAGCCGAGAGACCACATTCCCACAACATGCTAAACTGGGTTAGTTTGAACCTGGGTTAGTTTTTGCGGCTTTGCACGCCGAGGAGGGAACCCAAATTCTGGGCATGGTGTGAATCCAGAACGCGGGTTAACTCAATAACCAAGTCAAGCAAATCATGCACACCCAGTTTGGGGCAGGGGGTGGGGGTGAGCACTGGGCATAACAGCAAGCAGAGGGCAACTTACCTCGTTTAGAGGAATTAGGCTCCTGCCATGATGTTCCCACTGGAAACGTCCCTGGTTGGGGAGGAAAAAAAGAGACAGAATAAATAAAGGGGTTGCCAATAAGAGTTTTTATCTTTTTAAATTCCTCTTGGTCAGTGTTTTTCAAACCTGGCAACTTTCAGATGTGTGGACCTCAACTCCCAGAATTCCCCAGCCAGTTG